TAGTTTTGAACCTCCTAAAGAATTGATTGGAAAGCCTATTGAGGAATGCCCAAATTCTAAGAAATTTCTAATTGAGAGATTCGACAAAATCCCTTCAAAACCCTAGAGTATTTAGCCAATATTTTAGGTATTCAAGTTATGGTTAGATTTCACCCTTTAGTATTCCCGCTAGTGAGTGCCACCTCATGTTGCAATGCCATGTCAGATCTGATGTGGCATTTAACTTAGCCACCTTAACGGGGATTTAACATTTTCAGTTAATATTGACCGTGGGTGACTAACGGTTGGACACCTTGGGAAGTTAGGTGACCATTTTGTTAGGTTTAGAGGTTGAGTGACCAAAAGGTTGATTTTAATAAAGTTGGGTGACCACCCATGAGATTATTTTATAATCTGAAATATAATATATTAATTATGTATTAAAATGTAAAATAAAAAATTATTAAATACAAAATAATTTTTATTTAATAATTAATATAATACAGTTTCATTAGAGTGCACTACATTTTTTCTATAAAATAATACATGCAGGTTTAGATCTAATTTGAATCATTGGATAGCACGGGTCAGGGCCCAGGGATTTATTAGGGATATCTGGGTCCAACCTTTCCATGCAGCAGTCACCGTGGAAACGGAGCTCAGCTTTTTACCAGCAAAAAAACAAAAGAGACAAAGAACTGAATCCGAATCTAGACAAAAATGGGTTTACATTGGAAAAACTGAAAAGGGCATTTATTATGTTATCATCTTGGTCTTGGAGGAGAAAACAAAACAAACCGATGAATTGGTGGGGTTGGTCGGCTTCAGTGGCACAGATGTCAGTTTTATGAATTGATGTTGAATGTTGATGCTTTGAAGTGGGTTCAATTAATTTGAAGCTCAACTGAGTCCAAAGGGTTCGGCCTTTTCCATCACGATCTTCATTATACTCGTCAATTGCATCTTTTTAATCCGTTTGCTGAAGCCTGAAGCTCTGAGATGGAGAAAGCAGCAAAAAGCCTGGAGCTTTGATTAAGATAGGATTTAATTGACTTTCTTAAGGGTTCTTTTCTGTGGATTTCATCAGTGAGTTCAATTTTTGTAGTTGCAATTGTTTTGATGTTTAGACTGCATGTGTAGAACACTGGTTGATTTTTGATTCAATTGCAGGACTGATATGGCCTTCCTTTATTTTACAGGCTAGCTTTTGGTGAGATTAATGTAAATAATATCTGTATAGAGTTTCTCTGGAAAGGAAAACACAGCTTAGTCATGTCTGTTACATTATTATGGGTTGGACCTTCCCAATCAGAGTTTGCCAATGGTTTTCGGCTACTTGATTCATTCCTGGATGGAATACATTCAAAAAAATGTGTGCGTCGAAATCGGGGTATGTTGTTCAATTGCATAGGAAAGAAAGGTTGGAAGCAGACACTGAGTATAGGCTCTTGTAGTACCGATTTGAGGCATCTATATGTAGGTGGTTCAGGCTTTGGGAGTGGAAGTCAATTCCCAGTGATACCAAGTGCCGTGGCTACTCCAGCTGTAGAAATGGCTGTATCATCAGAGGAGAAGGTTTATAATGTGGTATTGAAGCAGGCTGCCTTAGTTAAGAAGCAGGTGAGGTCTACCGGTGATCTCGATGTAAAGCCAGAAATTGTTGTACCGGGGACTCTGAGCTTGTTGAGTGAAGCTTATGATCGATGTGGAGAAGTTTGTGCTGAATATGCCAAGACATTTTATTTGGGTTAGTCGTCTATCCTCCAATATTGGTTAGTTCAATACTGTTCTGAGTGACCATCTCAGGTTGGGATTACCTCTTCTGTGGAGTTAATTCTTAATTGTCTTGCCATTTCAGGAACTTCACTGATGACCCCGGAAAGAAAAAGAGCTATTTGGGCAATATATGGTGAGGGAGTACACAGCCTTCTCCTTACATTATTGTTAATTTGATTGATTCTCCCAGTACCTTAACAATTATAAAACGTCACATTGTTGATGGAAATCAGAATATCCAAAGCATTAGAAAATATGATGAATTTGAAGTTTTTTTGAAGATATGCACTTCAAAGCTTTTAAAATGCTGTTGTTCAAATAACCAACACATGCTTATAAGTTATAAGTAAGCATGTGAGCCACTTGTTATATTGCTTGGCCTTCAAGCAGTGATAACTTGTATGTAGCATGGTATTGTGCTACTGAATCTGCATGTTTGATGTGTACTGTGAATAATTCTTAGAAAGGCTTGGTCATGCAAGAAAATTGGCTTCCATGCTGGGGCATTTCTTCTAACCAAAAATGACTTGTATCAGCTGGGAATCTAGAGGAGAAATGCTTTTAGATTGTGTTTCCATATCATTTAAAAGTAAATCAATCATTTTTCCCTTAAGCAGTACACATAACAGTATAAGATAGTGAAAGGTGGACATGATATGAATTAGAGTAAGAAAATAGAGAGGAAAGAGCAATGCTATGTGGTTTAGGCATGAGTCCTGAATAAGGGAGAGGATTCCCTATTATCTTAAACTCAAAATGTCAAAATAGTACAATTTACACTCTTTTACGATGGGACTCCAAGCTCTAACTTAAGGGCATATAAGTCTATTTCTTTGCTTCTTACTCTGTTTTTTGTACATACAGTGTGGTGTAGGAGGACTGATGAGCTTGTTGATGGGCCTAATGCTTTACATATAACACCAACTGCTTTAGATAGATGGGAAACAAGGTTGGAAGATCTTTTCAAAGGTCGTCCATTTGATATGCTTGATGCAGCATTATCGGACACTGTTGCCGAATTTCCTGTTGATATACAGGTTAGACTAAGCTCTTAAGACTAGATTTTTTCTGAGCAGTAGGTTCATCATATTAATCAATTGGCCAGCCTTGTTAGTCTCTGTAGCCTATGATCTATGCCCTATGGCCTTCACAACATATCTATAAAAAAAGTTGGCTGATTTTACTAGAAGGTATTACTCAGTCTGTAAATCTCTTGTTTCCAGCCCTTCAAAGACATGATTGAAGGAATGAGGATGGATCTAAAGAAGTCAAGATACAAAAATTTTGATGAACTGTACCTCTACTGTTATTATGTTGCTGGCACTGTTAGTTTGATGAGTGTTCCTGTTATGGGCATTGCACCTGACTCGCAAGCAACTATAGAAAGTGTTTATAATGCTGCACTAGCTTTGGGGATTGCGAATCAGCTCACCAACATACTTAGGGATGTTGGAGAGGAGTGAGTAACAGGGCTCTAGATATTGATATACTGCCAGTGATCATTAAACTTCCCCTTTTCCTTATATTTATTTTTTGGAAAGAAAACTAATTTTGCATTTTTCAATTTCTCTTTCTTTTACTAGTGCCCGAAGGGGACGGATTTATCTACCACAGGATGAACTTGCACTGGCAGGACTTTCGGATGACGATGTTTTTGGTGGAAAGGTGACGGATAAATGGAGAAATTTCATGAAGAAACAAATTAAGAGAGCAAGGATGTTCTTTAATAAGGCAGAAAAAGGAGTGGTAGAGCTCAGTCCAGCAAGTAGATGGCCGGTACTATCTCCTATATACAAACTAATTACTGCAAAAACCATTAAGTAGCTGAAATGAAACTGCAAAACTTTTCTATGTGCAATAGGTCAATGGGTCAATGAGTCAATGAGTTTAGCTTGAAAATACTGATATTCTTGCCATTTATCTATCTACAAAACTCACAGTTAGGATTGGGTTAGACTGGTTAGTTTACTGAACTTTTCTACATGATGTTCTTGAACATTGCAGGTCTGGGCATCCTTGCTGTTGTATCAGCAGATACTAGATGAGATAGAAGCTAATGATTATGACAACTTCACAAAGAGGGCTTATGTGAGCAAAGTGAAGAAATTTGCTGCTCTGCCAATCGCATATGCAAAATCACTGATTGGCCCGTCAAGAACACCTCCACTGAGTAAGCCCCAGTTTGAAAAATGAATGTAAAACATTGGAACCAAGGCCGTTTATATATAGTTGAAAAAGAAAAAAACAGAATAAGAAAAGAAAATAATAACATGTATAGTGACTATGCAATGATTGTAAAAAAATATTGTTTGCAGTAAGTATTCATTAGAATTAGAATGGTTTATTAGTCTTGCACCTCGGTCCAAAAAGTTGTTAGACTAATAAAACATCCCAATCTATGTCATCACAATAATGACTAATTTAAAAGAAAGTAGAAAAGATATGCGGAGGATTTTCTACTGCTCATGTAATAGAAAGTTTCATTGAAGGAGAATGACATAAACCAAATACACAGGACACAACCCACAAAAGCGTCTTAAATATCAATTATTATTAATGAGAAAGCATAATTATATTTATTATTTTGAAAATTTATAATAATCTAGACCGGCAACAAACTCAATGGGTTAGAATCGACCTTAGAAGTTGGAACTGAGCTTAGAATGTTGTAAAAGTTTGATGGTGCCGAGTTCAAAGTAGAAACTTCGGTTCTTAAAGCTTGAATTAGACTCTACCTTCTAAGCTTTCAGCTTGGTTCAAGACCTAACCCTCAAAGGCTGGTTGCTGCCTGTTTTTGGGTGAGCCAGACTTCGCTGCTCATACTATAGCCAAAAAAATAAAAAAATAAAAAATCTATATTACTAAACAAAATAAAATTTAAGTGGGTTCTCACCAGGCAAAACTTTACTTTTTAGCTCCTCATCTTACCAAATTTGAAAGTTTTAGTCTTTTATCTTATATTATGATATTTTTAGTCACTCACCTTACTAGATTTATAGGTTTTAGCCCATCACCTTATATTATGACATTTTTAGCCCCTCACTTATTAAAATTGAAAAAAATAGCCTTCACTTTGTAATATTTTGTTAGTTCTATTAGTTGACTGTTAACTCTACTAACTGATTATTAGGTGATTGTTAGCTTACAAAAGTCTTTTTTTAGTTAACATAATTAATAGAACTAACTTTTTAATATTTTGTTAATTTTGTTAACTGACTATTAGTTGACTGTTAATTAACAAAAACCTATTTTTAACTAACAGAATTAACTATTAGTATAAAGTGAGAGTTATTTTCTTCGATTTTAATAGGTGATGGGTTAAAACTTATAAATCTAAAAGGTGAATGACTAAAATCTTCAAACTTAATAAGGTGATAGACTAAAAATAGGTTTTGCCTTCTCTTCCTAGTTGCTCGATTTTTTAGGTAATTCTATTTTTGAGTCAAATTATAGTAAACTCGTCATTTTTGTCATTCTTTTTAATAATTTAATTTTACAGGTATATGTAAATTTATTATTTAAATTCTTTAAATAATACATCTTTGCGGACCAACCACCCATAATATTACTTAATGCCAATTACTAAAAAAGTGATGAGTATCATCTAGCAGGATACTCCAATAGTTTCTTCCATGCTGGTAACCTAATCTGCCATTAGAGGACCCTGACCATAATAAGAAATTTGTTGGACTTTCTTTTGATTTCTCCTAAACTTTCTCTTAACATGCTATCCCTGAAAAACTTAAAATAGAGCTTTCACTTCATTTAGAATTGGGTCAATGTCAGGTTTGGTTTGGTCAGATTCCAAAGTCAGAATTGGAATTACTGGTATTTTACTCTATCCCTTTTCTCCTCTATATATGGGATATTCCCTTGTATACTTTAATTCTTTCTTTGATTTCTTTTCACCTTTTTGATGTAAAGTATAATTACAGAGTTGGTTTTAGGAGTTTCCAAACTCAAAGAACATATGCTTTTAGCGTGAATCATGAATTAACGTCCGAAGGCAGCCTAGATTGTTAGAAAGGTAAATGGGTAAATGGGTAATAAGTGGTATATATTTCGGTTCCATATACCTATTAACACCTATTAATCTAAGTGAAATTTTATCTTGAATTTAAATTTAAAAATAATAATTTCTTAATAAGTATATTTAAAAATGTATTAAATTAAATGGTCAATCAATCATTATCTAAAATAAAAAAGCTAAATATTGCCGTGAACATTGCAGCTTTCTCTTCTCATGTTCGTCTTTCTTCCCATCACGAAAGGCAAAGTATATTTCCCTTTTCCCTTATACATTTAAAATTCTTTTCTTTCTCTTCCCTTTATTTAACGAATCATTTTTGCAAAAAGTTTCCCAAAATTCCAGTCCCCTAACGGACCAAAATCAACTATGCACTCTATAAATGCATACACATGGTTACGAAACAAACCACGTTCAAATTTGCTTTCCTTTACTTTCATCACAAGCATCCTTCTCTAGCTAGCAACGGCCACTACATCCGATATGAAACGGTCTGAGTTCATAGCAGATAGCATGCCGGACGCTCTGAAGCAGGGCAGCCGCTCCCATATGAAGAGATGTTTTGCCATGTACGTTCAAAATGGTAGGAGGATCATGAAGCTTCAAGAGTTGAAGGAGGAGATGGAGATGGTGATAGAGAGTAAGACTGAAAGACAACAGGTCTTGGAAGGTGTATTGGGTGCTATCTTGTCCTTAACACAGGTTGATGATTGCTAATAGTAATTTGAGTTTTATGTTTTTTAGTCTAGACTACATATTAAAAACTACAATTTAAACATTGAAATTATTAAATTAATATTAATAAATGATTATAGATAGGAGTTTTATTAAGGGCATTTTAGTTATTTCAGTGTCTGAATTACAAGTACATTAATTTCCTTAATTTAAGTAATTTTGTCTGGCTTTATAAATAAATTGGATGCTTTTAATATGATATCATAGAAAGGTTTTGTTTGTCAATTTTCTAATTTAGCTTTTGCTTTTAATAGGAAGCTGTTGTAATTCCTCCTCATGTAACCTTTGCAACAAGGCCTAACCCAGGTTACTGGGAATTTGTGAAGGTGAGTGCTGATGATCTTTCTGTTGAAGCAATTACCTCTACAGATTACTTGAAGCTCAAGGAAATGGTAATTGATGAGAATTGGTATGTCCTTTCTACGTTGTTCATTCTCGGCTTCATTATAACTTGATTCTATAAGGTCAAGTGAAGTGACAAAATATGAAACTTGGTTATGCTGCAGGGCAAAGGATGAAAATGCTTTGGAGGTTGATTTTGGAGCTTTTGATTTCTCGATGCCCAAATTGAGCATATCTTCTTCAATTGGAAGTGGGCTCAATTTTGTCTCCAAGTTCATGACTTGCAAGCTTAGTGGGCAAGAGGAGAATGCAAAACCTCTAGTTGTTTACCTTCTCACTCTTGCATATCAGGGAGAGGTGCAGAGGAAAACTGATTCAATTCTGATTCCCACAGTTGACATGTAATTTTTGTGCACTAATTTGAATGCATTTCTATATGATGTTCAGAAACTTATGATAAATGAGAGACTTAACACGGCTTCAAAGCTTCAGATGGCACTTATAATAGCTGAAGTTTCCCTCTCGGAGCTGCCTAAAGACACTCCCTATCAGAGCTTTGAGCAGAGGTTCAAGGAATGGGGCTTTGAGAAAGGCTGGGGTGACACTGCAGGGAGGGTGATAGAGACACTAAGATATCTCTCAGAAGTACTCCAAGCACCTGATCCAGTGTCCATGGAGAAGTTTTTTAGCAGGCTTCCCATAATCTTCAATGTTGTTATATTCTCTCCCCATGGCTACTTTGGTCAGTCAGATGTCCTTGGTTTGCCAGACACTGGCGGTCAGGTATATCATATATGTCAGATACCAATATTGTTATAATATTTTAGAATATGTTATGTATCTGATTCCCTTTTCAAAGTTTTGTCTCTACATCTTGTTGATGGCATTGAAATGAAGGGTGGCATTGATTTTCACATAAATAAAAACAGGTTGTTTACATTCTAGATCAAGTGCGGGCCATGGAAGAAGAATTGCTCCTCAGAATCAAGTCCCAAGGGCTGAGTGTGAAGCCTCAAATACTTGTGGTAAGTTTGATATATGAATATATAACTTACCAACCACATGCTTTATAATTCACCTTTGGTTTAACTACAATCTTGAACATACCAGGTTACACGACTCATACCAGATGCCAAAGGAACAAAGTGCAATCTGGAGCAGGAACCAATCATTGGTACTAAACATTCCAATATCCTTCGAGTGCCATTCAAGACAGAAAGTGGAGTGCTAAACCGCTGGGTTTCTCGTTTTGACATTTATCCCTATCTTGAGAGGTTTGCACAGGTATGTACCTGTGTACACTCAAACATCACTTGTTCATGTTTTTTTCTGTCCTCGTTAATTTGTCATCTGCCACGGAATATCATTTTTAGGATGCAACAGTGAAGATCCTAGATGTCATGGAAGTGAAACCAGATCTTATAATTGGAAATTACAGTGATGGGAATTTGGTAGCATCTATTGTAGCCAGTAAACTTGGGATAACTCAGGTGTGTTTATTGTTTTATATTTTTTTTTCATAACCATTGTCTGTTGAAAAAGTCGTTGTACTCTCAAGGTATTTACTGTTGTCCTTTTTTACATGTTCAAAACAGGCAACCATTGCTCATGCTTTAGAGAAGACTAAATATGAAAACTCAGACATCCGTTGGAAAGACTTCGATGCCAAATACCATTTTTCGTGTCAATTCATGGCTGATACAATTGCTATGAATGCAACTGATTTCATTATAACCAGCACATACCAGGAGATTGCCGGGAGGTGAGAAAAGTTGGCCTTGTTTTATCCATGTATTTGCTTTCAAAACCAAGCATTGATTCAAATGTTTTATTTGCAGCAAAGAGAGACCTGGACAGTATGAGAGCCATGTTGCATTTACTCTTCCAGGTCTCTGCAGAATTGTTTCAGGCATCGATGTTTTTGACCCCAAATTCAACATTGCTGCTCCTGGAGCTGACCAATCTGTATACTTTCCCTACACTGAGAAGCAAAAACGATTCACATCATTTCAATCTGCCATTGAAGAACTTCTTTACAGCAAAGAGGACAATGATGAGCACATGTAAGTCTTAATTCTATTGAGTCATAGAATTTCTGTTATATCATATTGCCAAATTAGATTTGTCTTAATGGCACGACTTGGTGGATTTCAGTGGATATCTAGCTGACAAGAAGAAGCCTATTATCTTCTCAATGGCAAGACTTGATACAGTAAAGAACCTGACAGGACTAGCTGAGTGGTATGGGAAGAACAAGAGGCTGAGAAGTTTGGTTAACCTGGTCATTGTAGGGGGCTTCTTTGATTCCTCGAAATCAAAAGACAGAGAGGAAATCGCAGAAATCAAAAAGATGCATGCCTTAATAGAAAAATACCAACTCAAGGGACAGCTCAGATGGATAGCGGCACAGACTGACAGGAACAGGAATGGAGAACTGTACCGTTATGTTGCAGATACAAAAGGAGCTTTTGTGCAGCCTGCTCTGTATGAAGCATTTGGTCTGACTGTCATTGAGGCAATGAACTGTGGTTTGCCCACCTTTGCAACTAATCAGGGAGGACCAGCGGAAATTATAGTGGATGGAGTGTCAGGTTTTCATATCAATCCATACAATGGGGATGAATCAAGCAACAGGATAGCTGACTTTTTCGAGAAATGTAAGGTGGATCCAGGATACTGGAACATGTTTTCTGAAGACGGTTTGAAACGGATAAATGAATGGTATGTACTGATTGAATGCTCTTAGGGTGATTCCATGAATTATTTCACTAAGGCCTTATTCAATATTTGTATCTTCCTTCTTATTTGTAGCTACACCTGGAAGATTTATGCAAACAAGGTATTAAACATGGGGTGCATCTATAGCTTCTGGAGGCAATTGAACAAGGAGCAGAAACAAGCCAAGCAGAGATACATACATGCCTTCTACAATCTGCATTTCAGAAATCAGGTATGTTTTATGTCATTTTTATTTGTGACTGCAGAAATGATTAATGGTTGTTTGTGCTTACTTCCATGTGACACTACTCTAGGTAAAAACTGTGCCAATTGCAAGTGATGAAGCCCCGCCTCCAGTGTCAAAGCCAACACCGCCAGCGCCGCCAGCACCACCAGCGCCGCCAGCACCACCAGGCAAATCGCGGCGCATGCCAAGGCATGTTACTGCACCTCCCAAAAATTAATGCAGTATTCTTAGGATACACACTTTCTAGCTCAGAAGTCCAGGAATAAAACAATCTCTCAATTCCTCCAAAGCAGATCTATATTGTATCTGGCATTGCATTTATGACACTGATTATTAATTTAAATCAATCAAGAAACTATGGGATATGATTGAAAGAAACTAAAGTTTAGTACTCAAATTGAAAATGGATTAGAATTCAGTAGCTAACCATTTCATAAAATTGAACAAATATGAAAGCTGAATTCTGTGGATTTCTTGTTGTGCAGCACCAAACGGACGCAGTCACGCATACAAAGGTAGAGTTGATTCTCTAAAATCTAAATATCATATGGTAATGCTATTCTTACAAAAAAATAAATCCACGCCATTCTAACAACTGAAAACCGTTTTAATATGCACTGCATTCAGGTTGTTTGGTTCATAAAATCCCAACAAGGGAGCTTGTTCTGCTTCCCAGCTATACTGCTTCTGCTCAGCTAACTTCATTGGAATTGGGATGATTCATTTCCTTCACCACATTATGTAATTCTTTTAAAATAATGAATTCCTTGTGTTAAAATCTATTCAGGCATTGTGTTTTATACAGCATTTTTTGATGAATAGACTAGAGTAGTCTACAGAACTCAAGAACAGGGACAGAAGTGATCAGAAAATACTTTAACCCATCGGAATTCTGACAGTCACAGTTTAAGGGTAAAGGGACTGTCGTTATAATGGATTAAATAAAGTTTGACACATATAGACAAGCATGCAACCCACTTCTAATAACGTGGGTCAGACAATCTTCTGGATAACCAAGGTAATACAATGTAGCCAAAGGAATTCAATACAATGATTTTAAACCGTCATGATCCAGTCAAAGATTGTGGAATGCTCATACTATTGACTTTGGTAACCAACTCGGATGAGCCAAGGTGTTCTCCATCCTGTGCTGAAACACCCTGGTCTGAGAGGGAATTGATTCTTTTACAACAATATGATATGCAATCTACAAGAACTTTCTTATACCTTAGTCTCCACTGCACTGCTAATTTCCACCTGTCTATCAACATTCTATTTCTATTGGATAATACCAAGTCGACACTGCTTTTTCCATTCTGTTGATCAAATGCTTCCAAGAAAGCACAAACCTCACCTCCATAAGAAAGGGCTGTCTTGCTCCACTCCACAGGGTCATCATAATCTTGGAATTTCTCAATGGCAGAAAGCAACAGGCTATCTTCTTCAATTGATGTTGGCAGACTCTTCAAAGCATCCAAGCAGTTATTAGATGTCCATTTCATGATTGATATCTCATTATCTAGTGAAAGTTGAGATCCTGAATAAGCAAGTTGTCCTACAGATCTCCGCTGGTTTGCTGGGGTTGCCCACAGACGCAAAGCAGACAGTAAAGCAAAAGATGGCTTCCCAGTTTCATGAATATATAGTGAATCTTTTGGCCAGGAAGTTGAGGAATATATGTCATCTTCCAATGGGACAAAAACTTTGTCATTTGGATTTTCATAAAGAAGAAACCCATAATGCTCAAGAAGCTCTAAATTTGTGTATGTTCCATAGCTTAAGAGAACCTGCAGGCAACAAATCAAGTTTCAATTGCTAAGCAAATAATAATAATAATAATAATAATAATAATAATAATCAGTTTCAATCTCATTTTGCTTTTTGTGAAATCAAAAAACACAAGTAGAACTGTAGAAACCCTTGGATCTCAAGCTCTTGAGTCTTGACTACTGGATTAAAAAGATAAACATAGAAATAAACATAGCTAGCTCCATAACAAAGGAAAGTTGTTCCGCCAAACAGTTTAATAAGCTAAACAACTTATAATGATATCGTTCATGCACATAAGAACAAACTAATTAACCAGCTATGAACATCAAGAAGAAGGGCAGCAGCCAAAACAATGCTACTCTCCAAATCTGTCCTGTTACATTTTGTTTTTCTCATTACCGAGGAAAAAAAGGAAATAAAATATTATTTTTTCCTCATTTGGAGATATGGTAATAAGCTCCTTATATTAAGGCCATGAAAGCTCATATCGTGCAAAAACACAAAGAAGTTGATTCACCCCCACTATCATTTATTTATTCATAATTTTTTATATAAAAATTGACTAAAAAATAAGAGTTTATTGAAGTAGGAACTTGGGGGGTCCTACAGGTTTAAGGATACTGCACTTCGAAGAAGTAACACTTTAGAAAATTAATTATCCATACTAAGATTCTCAAATCAGCCACTTCAACCATTGTTAATTTAAAGATGCACATGCAATTATATTTCAATGCAACTAAGTCAGATTCAGAAAATTTGCCCAGGGAGAGCAACAACTAAAAGATGAGAATTATGAAAATAAACATAAATAAAAAAGGGCCTATCAATTTAGAAAACAGATCATTAACATGCACAGTGAATCAAATGACCTAAGTTCACTATACCTGCTCCCCCATTTTGTAGTTTTTTCTAGCATAAAAGCAATAAGCAGTGACATCTTCCTCAAATCCACCATCTGTTAACCTCCAAGAAGGAGCATCAAACTGCCCTGCATCCATGTCATCTGCAGCATCTCCATTTTGCAAGAGATCAACATTTTCAAAGCCATTTGGCTCGTCACCCGGTGCAGCATAATTGAACAAGTCTCCAACAGGACACAAACACCCAGCTTCATCCCACGGTATGTGTAATGTCCGTGAAGATATCTTAAAGAGGAAATTGAATTAAGAATACTTTTAATAATAAGAATACTTTTAATAATAAAGGGGACAAAAAGGTTAAGCATAAAAATCATGGAATATTAAATAAAAGACATTAACTCATTCAAGAAAGCAATCTACAAAACACACACAATAATAATGGGCAAACCAAGAAGACACTAATAAGTGAAGCTAACCATAAAATATAAGAACAACATTCTCACCGTCCCAGAAGCCCAAAGCCAAGCCCTCAAAGTCAGTAGTTTAGGCTTAAACTTAAGTTCTTCCATCAACTTCCTAGCTTCTTTCCACTGAGACTTAGCTTTTGTTACGGCCTTCTTTGCAGCCCAGACAGCATAATCCACCTAAAACATCTTGAACATTTCAGGAAGCAGTTTAAGATCAATAAACTACCAAACTATATATCCTCATCAGAGTCAAAAACAAACCAAAAAAAAACTAAAATAAATAAAGTCACACTGAAAAACTGAACTTGCAAAGCTTGCACTTCAAATTCACCGAAAGCCGCTAGTATCTCATAACTACGTGGCAAGTGGATCAAGTAAGGGTGCCACCATGAACTTTTCCCTTTGTTAATTTCATATAATAAACACACAGTTAACATCTGCATTGAAAACCCATTAAAAACATGAGTATATAAAGATTCACTCGAGCAAACAAGTACCCAAGATGCCATTAATTGAAAGAAAGAAAACCTGGGTAGGGGTTAAAGAAGGGTGACTCTTGAGGGCAAGAGAAAGACTTTCATCCTTCATGACACTCTCGCTCGTGAGTAAGGCAGATTTTGGAACTCTGAGAACCAATTCTCCTCTTCTGAGATCACGAGCTGCAGCCAAACCTCTTCTGCAGCATATCATAACACATAAATACAAAAGGAAAAAGATAACCCATTTAAAAACAAAAACAATAATGAGATTCATTGCGTGCACGTTACCCGCCGGCGTGAGGGAAGTGAGAGACGATGACAGAATGGCCGAGACAAGAGCTGGGGTTTTGAGATTGGAGAGAGTCCGAGATGCCAAGCTCCGCCGCCCATTTCAGAAAGCTGTCGAGTTCTCCTTGTTCTTGCTCCATCACTGTTGAGAAGCGCTAAGGAGTACGGAGAGAGGACCCTGCTCGGTTCCCGTCCCAGGTTCCCGGCGACATAAAGACAGAGCCGAAGATGGCGACAGGAAACAACGCCGACACGAAGCCCAAAAAATCGGAGGCCGACGAAGTGAAGGCCCAACTCTTGGAATTAGCTATCAAAGTTTCGAAGTCCATTTACTTGATTTCATTTTAGGCTCGACCCGTTTCCCTCAATGGGCTACAGCCTATCTAATTGTCAGCCTGATTATGATATCTCCCCCTCGTTTATTTTTTTATTTTATTTATTATTTTTAATGAAATATCCCCTATCGTTTCTCTTGCACACTGTTTTGTTTCGTGACTTTCTTTTCATCATGGTTAGGTCCATGTTTCCCGCACTTTTTTTTTTTTTTTTATTATTATATAATAAGAGGTAATTATCTTTTATTTCTTATCTCACTTCATTCGTATATCATACAATTTAAACTTAAGATTTCTTATTTTCAACGAAAATAAATAACTACTAAACTATTTAGGTCGTTAACTATGCTTCTTATTTTTATTTTTTATATTTACAATTAAATTATCTTTATATCAATTTTTATGTATTTTGAAATTAATGTTTATCTAACCAATTTTAAAAATGCATCCTCCACATCTGTCTGGTGCATTCAAAAAAACTAATCTCTTTTAGTGCTAGCTTTAATACAAATAACATTTATTTATTAATAAATTTATTTTTCGAATTTATTTTTCCCACACTTATAAACATCTACGTTGCATATTCTACGTAAGAACTCTAAGAACTGGATCTATTAATTAGCAAGAGGTAATTTAATATTGTGTCATTACAACATCATAAAAAAAGTGTTAGAGTACATCATCACTTAACTTATAGAAGGATGCCAAACAAAAAAAGTATAATTTGTAAAGTTAATAGACCAAAAAAGTATTAAACATAATTGAGGGACCAAAAGCATTCAAAATACAAAGAGAAATTAAAAATTGACAATTAACCAATTAAAATTTATCACATTCTATAATTTCTATAACAAAATAAAATATAATGCGTAAAAACTGACCCATGATAATACTACTAAAAAAAAATACTACCATAAAAAACTTAGGTCATCCACAGGTAGGTACTGTAGGCTCCAGAGGTATTAAGCTATCTCTGTCACACATGGTGGCTCCAATGCTTATAATTCCTTCTCCCTGTGCAAAGATTGATTTATTAATATATAACATTGGAAATGGAAGTAGAAATTACCAATAATAGGAGAGAAAGAAATTTTACCTTAGCAATATTCCTAAAGAAAGTAGTGTTGTAATTTCCAGTTGGAAAAAAAATTTCAATAAGATCGGCTAAAACCAATTGGGGTTGGGAGATCGCACTATTGAACCAATCTTCATTCCAAGAAAAATTAAGACTAAAATTAGAATAAAGGGTTAACATAATTATCAAATAATATACTGAAAGTAATTGTATAAAAAGGACAAAAAAGTAGAATTATTCCTAAAAAAAAATTGAAATGATTAAATTGAAGGTACCGAATTTAAATGTTAAAATATGTGAGATATATAAATGTATTGAAGTGTTTATGGGATACTTACCAAGAGTAGTTAAGTTTTGGACTCTCTTGTCATATCTCCACAAGCTTTGTTTTGTCACAAAAGCAAAGCAAGAATCATCTTCAACATTAATGTTTTGAAGAAACGTTGATTGATTGTATCCAACGGGGTCTGAGACGTATGTTTCGTCAATCACTACATCCACGGTCTAAATACCCAAAAACACAAAAGAATGAGCAACAATAAAGAAACAAAAATGTATGAGGAAAACGATTCTAATGTTATCTCATAATCTTATATAAAAATGTTGATGATTGATGCCTTTTCACTTTGTGACACACAAATTAATATACATTTATTCTTTTAATATGATGTGACTATTGTGAAGCTTACTATAAGATAAGATTATGGGTGATAAACTAGCTTGGAAATTATAAACATTGTAATAATATAGTTCCAATATTAAATCTCAAGCAATAGCCCTCCATTTAGTAGATACTATAAATAAAGTATTAACTTACACATAAGATAGCATGCAATGATTCTAGATCATCAGGATTAGAGACATCATAGCTGATCTTGCTCATGGAACCGTCTATATTTTCTCCTCCTGCATCTACCACAAACTGTTTTCAAGTTTAGATGATGTTCAATAAAAAAAAAATTGCAAATTATAGAATTATAATAAAAGAGGGTGTGTGTCTATTTACCTTTAGTTTGTATCCTTCCTTGGTAAAAGACCATTTGCCCTGCATAAAACAAACACAACTAATAATAATAAACCCATGAAAGTGCCAAATTAGTTAGTGAAATGGATGCATTTCAGAATGATAAAATGGATAAATTAGTACATTGTCATACAACATCCATGCTACTATTGGTTTGAATCTGTTTTCCTTGTTTGTTGCTACCTTTGTCAAACACAAATAATTGTCTTTCACCTGTAAAAGTGAATAATAATCAGCATATTTATACACATTCTACCTCTGATCAATTTGGCGCCAACTCTCCCCTGAAACAAATCCAAGCCCTCTTGCTTCCTTTTGCTCAGGGAATTCAAGAATAGTACTAATACTGACCATTTTATATACTTGGTTGGCTCTATTTTCAAGGTTTGCAAAAGCTCCCAAGAACTTTATCCACTCTGCTCTCTATCATACAACACAACAAGGATTAAAAAGTCACGGGCAGAGGTAAGAAATGTCTCTAAAACACTGCTGATCACAGACATATA